TAGAACACACTTCTTACATGTGTGTTATTTGAAAGTTCTCTGCACTATAAAGCTCATTGTCCATGACATGGGAGGAAGAGTAAGCTACCCAAGATAAATAAGACTAACCAAGATGTAAAAGGTTTATATATAATATAGATTTTCTAAGCACAGCTTTGAATGTTGAATTATCTTCGCAAACAATTTATTTTATATATAATTAACTCATGAAAGACATGTATGTGGTTAATGATGTTTAAGTCAGTCTTAACTGAATGGTGTACTGTTTCCAGTATTTTAGTGCATTGCCTTATGAATATTTAGGAGAGGAAAATCACTGGAATTGGCTCAATAACAAGGAACCAGTTTATACAGCCTGATCTAATAATGATAGCATTTGTACAAAGGCTATAATGTAAAAATATACTGCAAGTAAGTTTCCCAGCTGCTGCCAGATGTTATTGTTAAATCTCAAAATCCAATGATACATGCAATATTTCAGTTATTTCATCAGGATGTCACATGCTGCTAAATATTAGCTGCCAGTTTTGATCATCAGTGGACATCTTGTTTAGAAGACAGAGGACTAGATAAATCCTTGCACTTCCAGCATGTGTATTATATAGCTAAAGCTTACAGCTTCAGCCATCTGTTAAATTCAAGTCCCGAAGACAGAAAAGCTATTTCTATTCTGCTTATTGCTTGCAGAAATCTTTGAAACACAACCATAAAATCTAGTAACAAATTGTCAGTCCACTGGGTAGATCAGACCAGGAAATCAACTCCAAAGGAAAGCTATAACTGTTACTGAGATTGGTTAGCCTGCAATATTTGCAAAAATCTTGCAAGTCTTCTTAAGTTCTTCCTCCCCCTCCTCCTCCTCCTCTATTTAAAAGATTTATATAGCTTCCCATCTTATAACCAACTTTGGTTAGCTTCCAATCAAAGAATAAAACAAAATTATAATAAAACTGTAAAATTAAATGCATTAAGAACAACAAAATCTGGTGCCAAGTCATATAGTCTCTTATCCCAGTATAAGAGTGGGGGGGAGCTGCTATAGTAAAGGCATGCTTAGTAGTTCAGTGAATTATAGAAGTCTCTCTCTCAGATACTTTGGAATATGACTTTGTCTTAAATTTCAAAAAATATTCCAGCCCTTTTTGTTAGGCAATAGACCTTGCATGCTTCCATCATGATCATCTTCCTTATTCTCTTCATAAACACAGAGTTTTGTGAAATGTATTCATTAGCACAAACATATTTTTTTTTTACTGTAGGTTCTTCCACAAAAAAATAGTAAATTAAAAAATCACAGCACTGGTTTATGAAATCACATTGTTCAAAATGGATTGGTGATAAACTTCTTGCTTCATAATTTTAAAATTTGCTTTGTATACCTTAACTCTAGAATTTGAGTTCTGTCTTCAAAAGCATACCATAGAAGTCTTTGACCTACCTCAGGTAGGACTCATGTACCCCTGATGAATTTACAAATTAATTGGAACTGGCAGAACAAGGAGTTACAGACAGAACTAAGTTGACTCCATGTATCCTTAGAAGTTTCTTTATGTGTTCTAAAGTAAATATTTAAAAAAGGGGATTATTCTAAATATAACTGCCAAGACAGATATTAAATCAACTGGTAGTAAAAACTACCAGTTGGTGCAACAGAGAACTTCTATTCTGTTTTCTGCACTCTAAGCACTAAAATGCTGTGTGAATTTAGAGCTTATGTTGGGTGCACTTCATGTTGGGTGGCCTTTAGAGCTTATGTTGGGTGGCCTTTAAATATTTTTTTAATCTGTTCCCACAAAAGAGTTGGCATTTATTTTATCTCACTTTTAGAAATAAAAATAGAATAACAGTTTGAAGGGACCATGGAGGTCTTCTAGTCCAACCCCCTGCCCAGGCAGGAAACCCTACATAACTATAAAAATATATATCTCTATCTATCTATCTATCTATCTATCTATCTATCTATCTATCTATCTATCTATTTATTTATCTATACAAAGTCACCCAGATAGCCTGGTGCCTTAACTACTAGGCCAAACTGACTTTCAGTTTCGGTTTGGTATAGCCTTCTGCATGAAACTAGCCACTCCTTTACTTTCTATTCTCTACGGAGATCACATTAGTAAAGATATGTGGTGACTGTTAATAAAATATGAGCCTCGGGAAAAAAGGCATAAAAAAGAAACTAAAGATTGCTCAGTTTTGATTTTCTTTGGTATAAGAGAGGAAAAGAGAAAAGTTGTCAAGATTGGTATCAGTCCTTTGGGATAGGCCAGATCAGAAAAATAACCCCAAAATATACTAGCATTTTATTGATACAGGGCAGGGGTGAAATCTAAAAATTTTTGCTACCGGTTCTGTGGGCGTGGCTTAATTAGTGGGCGGGCTTGGTGGTAAGGTGACTGGGAGGGCGTGGCTTGGTGGTCAGGTGGGCGTGGCCAAGTCAATGTCACTTCTTTGCCCTTTTTTAACCTACAAAACACAACACAACACATCTGGCTCACCCACAATGTAAAAGCAGCTGTGCTAGACCCAAAATGGCCCCTGCAACAAGCAGGAACCTCACACAGCCACAAAAAGCCCAAAAAACCAACTTTCACACTTTACACACACACAACACAACTGGCTCACCCACAATGTAAAAGCAGCTGTGCTAGACCCAAAATGGCCCCTGCAACAAGCAGGAACCTCACACAGCCACAAAAAGCCCAAAAAACCAACTTTCACACTTTACACACACAAAATTACACATACAGCTTTGTGAGATTTTGTGTGTTTGTGTAGTTAGAGTAAAACACTACAGAAACACACTAAATCTCAGAAAGCTGCACAAATATTATTTTATTTTTATTTATTTTTATTTTTATATAAAAGCAGCTAAATTTAAAACTTCCTAAACTTTAAATGGCTAGGTCTAAAAAAAGAACAACTAAAAAAACCCCAATTAACTATTTTTTTAAAGCTCCCAAAGGGGAAAAAACTTACCCAATAGAACAGGGATCTCCAACCTTGGCAACTTTAAGACTTGTAGACTTCAACTCCCAGAATTCTTCAGCCAGCTTTGCTTTGCTGGCTGAGGAATTCTGGAAGTTGAAGTCCACAACTCCCTGCTTGCTTGATTGCAGGCAGGGAGATTCAGTTGCTTGCTGATGCAATGGATTGCAGGGATTACAGAAAGGCGTTGCGACCAGCAGCTAAGGTAAGCAATTGTCAGAGCCATTTAAAAGGAAAAAAGTTTTTTTCTTTTACATGGCTCTGGCGATCCAAGCTGAGTTGCCTGATTAGCAGGCAACTCAGCTGGGATCGTCAGAGCTTGGCTCGTCAGAGCCATTTTAAAGAAAAAAAAAGGCTCTGATGATCGCGCGGCTCAGCTGGGCATGGGGAGCGGGAGCAGGGATTTTTGCTACCGGTTCTCCGAACTGTCCACCACCATTGCTACCTACTTGCCCGAGCCGGTCTGAACCAGGAGCATTTCACCCCTAATACAGGGTATTATAAAGAATATAATAATTGAAAGGTTTGCTTTAATTTCTTTCTCACACTTTTTTGTTTTCCTGAGCTGTGGTCATGTTTTACTATCAGTCACCACATATCTTTTCTGTGCTCTACAGTTTGTCCAAATTCATATTACTATTGTGGCACCACACAGATACAAAAAAAAAGGTCACTTATTTCAGGAAATACTATTAGAAGATATAAACATCTAAGGAGCCAATTATGTAGGTTTTTCTAAATATGGCTGTTTATCATAGAAGACAACTTCTGAATTGGTCAGTGAGACATACAACATTGTATGTCTCCTGTATGTGTTCCAATCACTTTCCTAAAATAGTTTACATGTATATTCACACTTAATTCTCCCTTCTTGTTGGCCCTTGGAGGAAAGCCAGGTCATAAAATAGATACCACAGGGATTCCAGGATTCCTACTTTATTGTGTAGAATACAACAGAATCTTAAAAGTCTAAGATTTTTCTGTCCCATTTTATATTAAGCAAAATTAAGATAGGCTTATCTTGAGTATCTTTGTCCTGTTTCCTTCTATCTCTTTATTATATTTTAAGATGCCCAGAATCATTGTATTAGTAAGATGGGTGGCATAGAAATCAAATCAATCAATCAATCAATCAATCAATCAATCAATCAATCAATCTCTAGTCTGGGTAATTCCTTGTCCACAATGTTTCTCCACAATGGCTTTTTAATAGCTTTCTCTAAATCAGCTCTAAATTCCTTAACATTTGTTTATACGAAATTCTTTTGAACTATATTTTCTTGTTTAAAGTCCTACCTATTCTTCACTATCATCTTTTACTACCAATTCAGTGTCCCTACACTCCCAAGACTGTTCCATTATGGCCAGCCTCTGTCATATTTTTAACAGTCTCCCTTATCCCTTATAACTATCCCGTTAGCATAGCAGTATAATAGTTATCTGACATGTCATTGGTTTATCTAGTCAACTTTTCCAAGCTGTAACAAGATGTTTGGTATTCATACATTTGTGGGTGGTTTTTTTTTAAGTTTCAATAATATTCACTATTAATATTCCCTTTAAAGAAGTATAAAACACATTTTTGCATCTCTATGCCCAATATTGTTATTTGATATGTGATGGCTGGTTATGTGGGCATGCTCAATTACACAGCTGATGGGAAACATACTGTAACAATTGCCTCGAGCAAATATATCTTGCACAGAACTACTGTACAAAATGTTCAAAGTTTGTTATAAAAGGTTATACAATATAAATGTAGAATTGCTGAGAAGTCACCAAAAACAAACCTGTTCTTTTAATTAATATTATCATTTCTCCATTTTCAGTGACCCTAGAAAACAAACCATGAAAGCAGCAACAGCAACTATGACAATAATCAGCTCCCTATGAAATCTGTCTTGAAGTCATTGTAAATGAGATGTACCAAATCATGCAACTCAACTCTTCATGATTTTATTTTCTGTAGATAAATAAGGTATAAGTTAGTATTGTCCATATGTTTTTACCTCTTTAGGAGTCACTCCAGGCATACGAATGTCCAGTGCAAATTCTGATAAGCCTAGTGGTACCAGCTGCCTGGTGCTACCAAGACATTCATTGGAATTAGATCTAGTAGCATCCTTATACCTAAAAATTAATAGGAAATTTGAACGTTATAATGACATTTGTTATTTAAATGTATTTTTATTGGCTTATAAGATTTATCAAGGTGTTTTATTAACTCCCGTTACAGTTTTCAAACTTCAAAAGTATCTCTTTTATAGCAAAATGAATTAGTCACCAGTTCACAGATGAAAAGGAGAAAGGTATAATTTGAAAGGATAGATTACCAATTGTTTAAATTCTGATCTGTAAGCTAATCAAGTTAACATTATAAATGTGCTAATAAATAAATTTTATGTTGCAATAATACATTAGCCAATTACAACACATTTATAAATAATGCATCAACTTAAATACTAACATCTGTATGTTGCCTTAGTGTAAGGTTTAAAAAGTCTTAGAAAAAGGTCTTGAATTTCAATTCCCTAAATATATTAGTAAACTACTGTTTAATCTCTTGTACTTCTAGCTTTTGTCCAATCAATTTAATCATAATTTTATATGGAATAGTCTAGAGACAGTACATGAAAAATATGTTTTCAAATCAATAATAATAATTTTGATATGATGCAAAATATATACAGACCATACATATATACGTACATTGCACATATAATGTACTATAATGTCTTGCAAGGGAGAAAAAAAGGCTAATTTTGCTTAAATTAGTATTCATTCTGAAATTTCACCAGATATGTTATTAAGCTAGGAAGTTGATTAAGTTTTTCCAAAGATTAAGCTAAGAAGTTGTAGGTGCTCTGAAACCTTTAAAAGAGCTATTCAAACCCAAGAGAAAGAAGAGTAACCATACGTTTCCATAAATAAATTATTCAACTACAGTTCAACTAATGCTATTACTGTGTTTCCCCTGTCTTATATTTTTTTAAACTCTAAAATAAGCACTTGGCCTTATTTTCGGGAGGTCTTTGGGGCGCATGGAACAAGACAGGGCTTGTCTTGTCATCTTACCTGATTTCCAGCTCTGTCTCCCTAACCCTAACCAGAGGAAATGGTGGGTACCGGTTGCGCATGTGTTTAAATATTTTCGGGAGGGCTTATTTTCAGGGGAGGTCTTATTTTTGGGGAAACATGGTATAATAATGTACCAAGGAAAAGCAGTGAACATTTCAATGAACATTTCAAGCATCTAGTGACTAGCATAAGCAACTAAATCCTTCCAAGTGAGTTTATTGTTGTTCACCATTAGAGGCTATTGTTTAAAACATGTAACACATTTATCAAAATTGATCCTGAAGTGAAGCTGTAAATACTGATAAATAACACAAAATGTGTCTAAATCACTTACCTCTTAAAGACAGAAAGAGGGCTTCTGAAAGCCCAACAGCTGTTTTGAAAAATAAGGAACAATATTAGCAAGTTGTTAACAAGGCCAGCCATGTCCACCCTGCTGTTCATGACCCTATTATGGCAGCAGGGAAAGGGCAACGCAGCTTTATCGGCTGTGATCCTGACAATTAGGCAGTGGCACAACTATCCATTTTCTTCTTCATTATGATGTTCTCTGCAGGCATCCTACAGCATTTGACAGACCATCTGTCTCAGAAGGTGATATTCTTTAAATCAGAAAGATGTGCCAATACTGTCCTGTCTTCATTCGAAGTGGCAGAAATTGGGGAAAAAATTGTAGGTGGTAGTAAAGAGATATTTCCTTTGGAGTACTTTCGCCTAATGAAAAGAAGGCAGGGATCACTGCTCCAGAGTTTTCTTAAGTCTACTGTCAAATCTCCAGACTCTGTTGTCAATTCATTCCACAGTGACAAAAGCTCCTAGTGGCACGACAGAAAACCTAGGCCACTCATAATTCAAAACCTGTAAAAATAGAAGCAATGGATGACTAACATGTTATGTATTTAGTTCTTAGGAAATTGCTATTAAAGCTTTTTCAGACGTTAGATATTTTACAAGTTTCATCTCAACTCACAAAAAGTTTTATAGCTTTGTTGACCTACTTCTGCATCTTTAAACATTACATAGCAATTTTCACAAGTCTGAGGTGTGAATATGTCTATCTGTTTATGGCTACATCTATATATACAAGTATATACAAACATTTTTTTTGTGAATGCTGTAGGCAAACATAGCAATATTAGTCTATCAAATTCCCCCAAGCATTCAAGTGACAGGATTTATAAAACTAAAGTGCACTCAGTTTTAGCTCTCTTCTTCAGAAAAATCTGTATGCTGAATTTGAAATGAAGCATACCTTCCCAAACCTTTTCTATTTTTGTACAGTTTAGAGCATGAAGTTGCTTAGCATCCTACATATAATATTAAAAAAAAAATAGAATTTAAGAAAAATGTGTGAGGTGTCTATTCTTCCAATCTGGAAACTAAAAAGCAGGCAGCATATAGCTATAATGTTTTACAGATTTTTAGGCTATAATTGTGCAAATGCTTTCAGCAAATTAAGCTGCGGGAGCTGAACATCTCTAGTTTCTAAATATCCATTATTTTCTTTATATTTCCCTTGGCCCATTTCATTTCAATTTATGATACAGTATATTTATACTTTGCTGTTATTTCTACTGCAGCAATTATTTGGCACTCAAAAAAGCTAACATACATTATTCCAAGAAAAACAGAAATATTCAAAATAGCTAGTATTTAATACGTCTCAATTTTATGTAAAATATTTTATTAACTGTCCAATTAGAATTATAAACATGATCTTGAAATGTGTTTTCCATGTTCATAGTTATATCTACTTATGATTATATACTCAATTTTAACTAACAAATAGCATATTAAAAACACAAACATAATGTGCAAAATATTTTTAAAAAACCACACACCAAGGTTAAGTTTCATTAACAGTGTTTTTATTATTTATGAAATGCCTGAATTATATTAAGCAATAGGCTGAACAAGTAATAACAAATAATTTTCAGGAAAACTCTCTGTGAGAAATGGAATTGAAAAGAATAAAAGGAAACAAGAGAAAATAAGGAATATAATCACAAAATTACATGGTGCTTTTGGTTAATTAGATGTGTGCTTTGTCTTTGTCTTGTGCTAAGACATGCTTCTGACAGAAACATCAAATAAAAGAAGAAACAGGAATAAAGTCAAGCAGAAAGTCTAGACAACTATTTTGATTTTTTAGAAGTCAACACTGCACATTAAGGGCTGAGTAAGCACTAAGAGGAAAGACATCTGAAATAGAGCCCAAGGGCTCTGCCAGTCCTTTGAAAAAGGTGCTTCTTAATGCACGGAAGAGTGTACCAAGCATCTCTTATTGAATCATTCAACTGCACTGGAAGCTGCTCTAGGCTGTTTCTGCATACACGTGCATGGCTAGCCATTTTGCTTTGCATCTTTCCCAACAAAACAAAGTGACGTCACTTTTAATATACCTGTGCAGACAATATCTGAGCTTCAGGAATAAAAAAACAATTACCCCTAAATGAATTTTATCAGGTTTTCTTCCATCATTTAACCCCTACGGCAGAGGATCACTAGTATTGTTAGTACAGATTGTATCTGAGGCAGTAGATGGTGTACTGTCACATGATCTATCTATATTTGTAAAATATACTCCCCTTCTATGTGTATTTTAATTTGGTCTTTGACCGCAATAAAAGCTTACTTACTTACTTACATCATTTGTTTCTGGCTACTGTTTTCAGATATGCTTCTGCAACAGTTCATGTTTGGAAGTATATATAGCTAGTCCACATCCTTTCCATTTATATTAATTAGGAAGTCAGTTCCAATAAACTCTACATCAACTTACCATTTTAATAGTAGGCATTTGTTTCTTTAAGGAAGTTTCCTAAATATATGAATTTCTATATGTCACTTTTGAGTCACAAACTGCACTGCAAACCACAAAGCTGGACTCTGTTCCAAACTTCCTTTTAATTTGAGAATTTAACTTGGGAAGTGTGCATTAGAGTCCCTCTTTGAAGGAGATGAATGGTATAGAAATGTGAGAAGGAAGGAAGGAAGGAAGGAAGGAAGGAAGGAAGGAAGGAAGGAAGGAAGGAAGGGAGTTTATGAATGGTCTTCCCTAGGCCTATTTATACACCCCACCTTGAGTATACATTTTTCATCCCTTCTCAATCACTCCAAAATACATGAAATGTTCATTTATGGAGATGAAACTAACACTGACTTTTAAAAGCATATTTCCTGCTTATTGGTGCACTGTAAACCTGTAACCTTTAATTTCTCTTGAGAGAATTCCAGAGTGTGCAAAGAGCCTTTGAATGGTTATGCAGTGTAGCAGACTGCTCATATAGTAAAAGTAATAAAATTATAGTGCTATGTGCAAGTTATATTCCATTGCCCAAACCATACATATTCAAGAACTGATCCATCTAACAAAGAGCACAATACTGATTAACAAGGCAGCAAGACTCTCATGACATGTTTTAATTTTAGCAGACCACAATAAAATCACTCAGGTATGACATACATGTCAAAAAGTAATGGAGATATGTTTTGCTTTTCAATATATTGCTAAAGAAACTGGCAAAGTGGCTCTATGAAAGTAATACATTTTAGTTAGTTATAATATCCTTAAAGAATTATGTAGTTAAAGCTATATAAAATATAATTTCCCATGTTTCCCCAAAAATAAGATCCTGTCTTATATTTTTTTTGAACCTTGAAATAAGCACTTGACCTTATTGCCATACACTCAAAAGCCCGATTGGGCTTTTTATCAGAGGATGTCCTATTTTTGGGGAAACGGGGTAATAATACTTAAATCATCAACATATGAAATGTTTAGTGCTGTTAGCGTTTAGTACTCTGAAGGCCCAAATATATCTTAGTATTAACAAAACAGTTATGCTACTATTGCCAGAAATAATTTGTAACAAATAGTTTGACTGTTAAATTTCTGCAGAGAATGATGGGAAGGAGTTTAATATATTTTAAAAAATGTATTTCTCTTCTCAGACTGATATTATTAATATGCATCCCTACCCTGCATGTGTAACCCTTCAATTTGATAAAAGTTTGAAAAGAAAATTTAAACAAGAGATTAATTTGTACAAAGAATGTGCATATTTCTGAAGAGTCCAAATGTTGCCTTTCAAAATTCTAAAAATAAGCAGAAAGTATGTAATGACATCTGACATTCTTTTCTCCTTACTTAATAGAGAATTCTCAAGCAGAGAATTGTTCCCTCTTATAAAACCCAGTATATATGAAATTGTAAAAATTCCTAGTGTCATCATCAGCAAAAAGATTTTCTCAATCTATCTCTGTTTCTATTGTTCTTCCTGTGAGTTGAGAGTGAAACCCTTAGTCAGAGCTAGTGCGTAGTTATATTTTGAGGATGTTTATTGGAAAATAGGTTACAAAAAGTTAAAATAGGCTTTTAACTTCCATAGTACAGTATTCTGGAAGCATAAAGCAGGACACAACCATGAAAGCTTAGCACCACATGTACTTTCTAATTATTCATTTGCAACTTACTATTCATTATTCATACATTTTCTTAGAAAATGTCACAGTCATATAGATTCCCCAGTAGGATGAAGATTATGCAGATGAAATCTTGTATCACACAATAAATTTCCACTAGCATAGTGAAACATTCTTCTCCTATGTAGGAGCTCCTATGTAACATACTAAAATCTTACATGGGTAGAAAGAAGATCTTATTGAGGCTCTGGGGGTCTGGATCCATGCTTTTACATTATGAGGTAAATATGTTTCCTCTGATGAAACATAATGGTAGAATTTCCTCTCAACAAAACCAGCAGTGTTATAACTAGGAGTATAACAGTGTATAAAACAGAGATTGTTACACAATTACAACTCAGACAATAGCCTTGATTATGAACTTTCTAGTGGTTGAAATACAGGTAATCCTCGACTTACGACCACAATTGAGCCCAAAATTTCTGTTGCTAAGAGAGACATTTGTTAAGTGAATTTTGCCCCATTTTACAACTTTTCTTGCCACATTTGTTAAGTGAATCATTGCGGTTGTTAAGTTAGGAACTCGGTTGTTAAGTAAATCTGGCTTTTCCATTGGCTTTACTCTGTCAGAAGGTAGCAAAAGTGGATTGCATGACTCCAGGACACTGCAAAGGTCATAAATATGAGTCAGTTACCAAGTGTCTGAATTTTGATCACATGACCATGGGGATACTGTAAGGGTTATAAGTGTGAAAAATGGTCATAAGTCACTTTTTTCAGTGATGTTGTAACTTTGAATGATCACTAAATGAACTGTTGTGAATGGGGTTTTATCTGCACTGGTTTCCCTCCATTTCCTACAGGAAATAGGCACACGCTATAAGGGATGACTTCTGTTTGAAGTAATACCATCTGGAAATTTTATTATGAGAAAAGTTCCAGTTCTGCATAGAAATGCTAGTTCGTTTTAAATGTAGCTCTGTAAGTCTAATTTTAATATTACACAAAAGGCTTTTGCAAAGTACTATAGAAATTGATTGTTTAGAAAACAGCATTGTGAGAAAATGGAGCCTTCATACTATAAAAAAGAGAGAAACACTAATCAAATCAAAGATATGTTCCATGAACTTTTTATCTCAAATAATGCAGTGAATGAAGGATTTTAAATGGAAAGTTTCTTTTACCAATCTTCCATAGCACAAAGCAATTACACTGTTGAAAAATCTGAAATATAGCACTCTACTGGCCTAACACACAAGATAAATACCCATGAATGCATCCGTTTGATTGGAAGACAAATGACTGGGGAAATATCACAAATTTAGTTAGTTTACGTAAGAACACAGCTGAAACAATAAAATTGTTCCAAACATACACCACAGTATAGTAAATCTCACTTGCAGCATGGTTTTTTTAAAAAAGCAGAAATATGT